AGGTGGCAGAATGCCACCTATTTCAAAGAAGAAATGGAGTTTCAGAAAATGTTCAAGCTTTACTTCTTAGACGACGCTCATTTCAGTTAAAGGTAGAGTATACAGGTTATACAGCAGTGAGACCACTAAGGGAGTAGCCTTTTCCTAGGATTATTCGGAAAACTTCCCTTGTGCTTTCACTCTCTTCTGCCCTACTGAGATAGTAGCATCTTACATCACTGTGCTTGTTGCAGCGACACACGTAACTGTTCCGCAGAGCAAGTGAGCCGGCATTCTATGCACTGTCACTGGGACTGTCCACTGGGGACATTATAACCAAGAGAAAGTAACTGTCATTCTTTCATAAATAAATAAATAAATAATTTTAAATAAGTTATTTTTTAGAGATAGTCACTGAAAAAAAGTACTGGTTTATTATATGGAATAACTGCTTAATGAACAGATGAGGGTCAGCCTTATGGCACAATAGGTAAGCCCTGTGCACAGAGAACCAGAGCTCACATGTCCAAATCATGGTTCAAATCCAGGCCCCAGAAGATTGAAAAAATATGCTGGGCACCTGTACGTGTGTGCCCAAAATCTTGATGGCATAGAGAAATGAAAGAGAAGGTGTGACACTGTGGTAAGACTATGCCCCACTTGGAGGGTGTCTGTACACTCTCACTCTGATGAATGCACATTCCCTCAGGAACTAAAATAATTAAAGAATGGATCAGCAGGTGGCATGGTGGTTAAGGCACTGGATATTCCCACATGGCCAACCATGGTTCGAGTCCTGTATCTGGTGGTTTGCTTTCCCACTTTCCCTCTCTCTGTCTCTCTCTGGTAGAATTAAAATAAATTAATAAATAAATAATTAATTACATTTAAAAATTAAAGAAACAAGTAAGAAACAAATCAATTTAAAATGTTTTTAAAAAGATGAAAGTACATAAAAATTGTGAGTGATAATTCATCTGCTTCAGAAAAGTCATTAATTTTAGCATTTACGTTATAGTCACTTATTTTTTTTTCCTTTTTTAAAAGAATTATTTACTTAATTTTATTCATTCATTCTTTCCTTCTTTTTTTGTTTTTTTGAAAGGTTTTTGCTATAGGGAGTGTGCGTTCCCCAGAAAGACAGAGAGTGAAAGACAGAGAGACAGAAAGTGAGAAATCACCCCCTGGGGGGAAGGCCACGCCACAATCCCTTTTCCTTCATTCTCTTCTTGGGATCTTGGACACGCACACAATCATGCCCGGCGTGAGTTTAAGCCACTAGAAATGCAGTTGACTACATGGAAGCCCAGCAACATAGCCATTATGTTAACTGCTGGTATCCATTCATTCATTTTAATTTGACCAGAAAGAGAAAGAGAGAGGGAAAGTGAGAAAGGAAGTCACTAGGTCTGAGACTCAAACCGTGGTCAGCCATGTGGGACCGTCCAGTGCCTTAACCACCATATCGCCTGCTGGCCTCGCCCCCTCTCCTTTTTTAAAGAGATTTTTGCAATAGTTTATGTGCACTTGCCAGAGAGACAGAGACAAAAAGGGAGAAATCATCCCCACGGGCAATGGCTACGCCGTAATCCCCTCCTCCTACATTCTCCTCTTGGAATCTTGGATACACATGCACACGTGCCCAATGTGAGTTTTTTCTTGTTCTGTTTCTTTGTTTTGTTTTTAAGAATTATTTTTTTATTTAATTACATTTATTTTTTTATTTTTTTAAATTTGACCAGAGAGAGAAAGGGAAAAGCAAGCTGCCATATACGAGACTCAAACCACGGTGGTTGGCCATGTGGGAGTCCAGCATCCCTAGTCACCATACCACCTGACAGACCTCTAATTTGTCATTTCAATTAAAATGGTGAGAGTCTTTATGTCAAGAATTCCCTCAGGAAAAGTTAAATACAAGAACCACTACACACCAACTGAGTGACATCTAAGGCATGAGCACACAGCAAAGAAAAGGCAGACTTAAAAATACCCTAAAATTGGGGTCAGTAGGTGGTGTGATGGTTAAGGCACTGGACTCCCACATGGCCGACAGTAGTTTGAATCCCAGACCTGGGAGCTTGTTTTCTTACTTTCTCTCTCTTTCTGATCAAATTGAAAATAATAATCATAATTATTAAAATTAAACAAGTATTCCTTTTTTATTTTTTAACAGAGTTTTGTTTTGTTTTAAAGCAATTTTTGCACTCCCTTAAGCACTTCTTGGAAGGCTGGTCTGTTATTAGTAAATTCTTTCAAGTTTTGTTTATCTGAAAATGTTTTTGTCTTTTTTTCCCATACGAAAGATAATCTTGCTAGGTACAGTATTCTTGGTTGAAATTGTCTTTCACTTAACAATTTGAGTATATTTTCTGACTCTTTCCTTGCTTGCATTGTTTCCAATGAGAGGTCCGATGTTAGCCTGATAGGATATCCTTTCAAAGTAACTTGACATTTCTTGCTTAATTTAGTATCTTGTCTCTGTCTGTTGTTTTGGTCAATCTGGCTATAATGTGCCTTGGGGAAGATCTTCTTGGGTTGATTCTATGTAGGGCCCTTTGTATTTCTTGGGTCTTAACATTTGAATGCTTCTCTGGGTTTGGAAAGTTTTCTTGCAGGATTTCATGGAATAGATTACCAATGCCCTTACTAGTTTCTTCACCTTCTGGGATATGAATTATCTGGATGTTTGGGCGCTTAATGGTATCTAGTATTTCTTATATAGTATTCTCTTTTTTTGAGAGAGAGAGTTTTTATTTATTTATTTATTTAGCCATAGGGCGCATGAGCTCTCCAGACAGACAGAGAGAGACAAAGACAGAAAGCGAGAAATCACCCCCCATGCCACAATCCCTTCTCCTCTGTTCTCCTCTCGGGATCTTGGGCAAGCACGCACACGCACCCGGCGTGAGTTTTAAGCCACCGGGTCCGGGCCA